GGCTGGAGCCGCGAGTGAAGTGAGGCCCTGGGCTGACTGCGAGACCAGGAGCTCACTGCAAAAGCATCCATCCCGGTGAGCACCACACAGGAGGGCGTCAGCTCAGGTTGATGTAATTCTGTAATTTTCCTGTAACTTTGCTGACATTGCTGTTTTAGCAAAAAAAAATTATTCTAATGTGATTTGCATTGCATAAAATTATAATAAATGTTTTTAAGAACAAGATGCTGTGTATTTATGAAATCTTTGTGTTTATATGAGGGAAAGGTTTAAAATATATTGGCACGTATTTTCCACAAACATTTCAATGCAAATCTACATAGACTGTGCAGCCTCTACATTCACGTATATTATTTGCATAAACCATAAATGGTGGGCAATTTCTTTGTTGGACAAAAAGTAGTGATTACCTTAGAAAGGATATTAATATCTTTCCTTTGTCCATTTTTAAAAATTTTGCTGACTGTTTTCATGATCATTCATCTTGTCTGGTAGCATAATTTGCAGCTCTCTCTATATTTCCCAAAACAACAAAAAAATAAGGTCTGGGGAAGACATAGGCTTCTGAATGTGAATATTCTGTTGAGCAGTAATTCTGACCAGTTACAGAAAAACAGTTGAAGTTCACAGCTGTTAGATGTGGGCACACATCAAGTAGACGTCGGACTGACAGGAGAGGTATCAGAAAATATATTTGCAAATTAAATTTCATGTTTATTCCCAGCCCTCCTTAGCAGCTTTCCAGTTGGAGATTTGCTCTATTGAACCTGACCAGTTTTCTCTGGAAAAAAAAAATATTCTTCACATAGTTCCCTGTGTGTTTCTGCTTTCATAGATTGGGATCCTTGGGACTCATTTCAGCTGAATTAACAGAAACAACATTGAACTTGCATGCTCCTAAAGCAGGGATTCCATTTCATATGAGAGGAAGTGAAGGGTCCTGTAATGACCAGCTGCAGAAGGGAAGGAAGTTGATCTTGGAGTCAGCTGGGCCTGCATTTCATTAACTGGTGGTGTGACTGGGACCACATCATTTAAGTGCTCTAAATGTTTGCTGTGTGTATGAAGTGGTGAGAGCCGGTACTCATACTGTGGATTATAAGGAAGATTTTTAAAATAATGGGTAAATTTTATTACATACAAGTTATACTTCATAAAGCTGAAGAAATGTGCTGGTCTACCTAAATATCTTAGAGCAGTGCCTCATACATGGGGAGTAACGTTAGCTCCTGTTATCATCATCATTATTATCATCACTTTATCATTGGAGATAATGATGCTTGCACCACAGACTGCTGTTAAAGTTGAACAAGATCAAGGGTGTGGTGTTGGTGGAAACCTCATTTTTGTGGGTTTTCTCCTGCTGTCTTGACAACAGGCACCCCAAGTGACCACGTAACATGAACCCCAGCAGACGGGTGGGCCTCAGCCAGCCTGAGCTCTGTTTGGATATGCACAGAGGAGTAATGAAAGAAAAAGAACTTGACATGCAAGGGAATTAATAAACAGTCACCAAGCGTGACCCGTTCACAGAGGGACGCTCTGTGAACGTTCTTGACTCTTAGACCTGAGTGTTTTTCCTCCTGAGGTAAGGATATTGTAGCAGAACCCTGAAACTGGCCAATCTGCTATTTTGAGGTCATGTAGAGTTGTTGTTTTTGTGTTCCTTTGATTTTGTCTTCATTGTTGTTTTGTTAGTTTTTTTCATCTTTAAAATAAAAAAAAAAAACCTTTGCAAATTATGCTGTGTGCTAGGTGTGATGAAACTATTCCACTATGAAGATCCTACTTCCTGGTAGAGAACCTGCATTAGCAACTTTGAAAATCAGGGTACAGATGGTTTTCTAGGATAGGTGAGAATTTGGAAAATGGGAACAACTAACATTTTCTGTTTAACTGCTTTACAGAATGACTTGATGATATCTAGCAAGGCTGAAGGTGTTTATACTGCACGAAACACCACTCTCTCTTAAATGTAGCCTTGAGCAGAGGTTCTCATCTGTGGCCCCTCAGTGATGTCAGTATCACCTGAGTCCTAGTCTGTTTTCTGTGGCTACAGCAAAATACTTGGACTTGACATTTTATAAAGAAAAGAGGTTCATTTTAGCTCATGATTCTAGAGGTGGCAAACTCCAGCTGTGTGTGTAACATTAGTTTCATCTCATGGTAAAAAGAAAAGAGGAAAGTGAGGATGTGTGGAATTCACAAAACGTGAAGGCCAGCCTTAGCTTTATAGCAGCTTATTCTCAGAGTAACTAATCCACTCAGAGAGACTGAAAATTCATTTACTAGTCCCTTCAAAAGGCATTAATCTCCCTTCACCTAACCACATCTTAAAGGCCCTATCGCCACTCCATACTCTCTTACAGTGGGAATCAGATTTTATCATGAGTTTTGAAGGGAAACAGACCATAGCAACCCGGGAAATTTTCAACGCTGAAAATTGTTGTGTCTTACTAAACTGGTCCCACTAAATTAAAATCAACTATCTTGATCTTGTGCAGTAGTCTTTCTTTTATAAGACCTCCTTCCCCTAGTAGATGATGGTCATTTCTCAAGTTTGAGGACTAGTACTGCCATAGAGAAATTTCGGCATTGAGCAGTGGAAGGATGTTGGCTAGGAAGTGTTCTAGTGGGCTAGGAAGTGTGCTGGTGCCCATCACCAGGGAATTGTAATGGTAGAGCCCTACAGGGTCTTACCATTTATCATTGAGCAAGACTGCACCCTGCCATGCTTGTGTCTCGTAAACTTTATTATGAGAAAAAAGAAACAGAAAACCGTGTTATGTAAGGATCCATTCCATGTGTCACACATTTGTATTACACTTTAAATATGTAGGAAACAGGATACACGTATACAATTATATATACTTGGTGATGAATACAGAGATATTAAAAGAGAAGTGAGGGAATGTGCCAGGATGAGACACTATGCAAAAGACTTCGTCACAATTAGCAAGGTTTCATTTCTCCGGTGAGTGATAGGTAGGCTGGCTTTTACTATTCTTTATATTTGTTTGAATGTCTAAAATGCAACATCACTAATTAATTTAGAAAAGAGAGATTCTTTAGAAAATATTCCTCTTAGCCTCCACGGCAGCTTTTCCTTCCCCTCTTGCAGCGTCAGAACTTGCACGCACTTGCTGAACATCCCCCGCCCGAAGAATCCCTGGGCGCACACCGCCTCGTGACCTCCTATGTGTGGACTTTTTCTATATTTCAAAATATTGCCTTACACATTTCATACTGAGAATGACTCGAAGAGTGAGTGTGGATATTCTTATTCTTTAGTTGACAGATGATGAAAGGAATCTCGTTGGCTGACATTTATTGAGCACTGTTCCATGTGCCATTGACCCGGATAAGTGCTTTTCATGCATTTCACATCAAAGGTCTCAGAGAACACAGGAGGAATCCGAGGAGTAGCGAGCTTAAAAAACTTGTTCATGTCCAATCAGTATCAAAGTCTGAAGTCAAAATCACATCTTCATGAAGGTGCATACTTCGCTATTCTGCGCTCTTTTTACTAAAGAAAGGTGCGGTTCTAATTTATCCAAGGCTGTCTGAGACTGTAAACATCTCAACGTCTTCTCTTCTATATCAAAGGGTAATCTATGCTGTTTTAGGTCCTTTATTTTTATTTTAACTCACTCTCTATAAAGCCAAGTTTCTTGATGACAAGCAGTGGCAATTGATGCTAGCTCGTTGAAGTAGGCAGACAAGAACTTAGTTGGGAAATTCCAAGTCAGTTGAGGAATGTTAAGGAAGATAGGAATACCACACTTGTTTGGAGAGCCAGGCAGCAAGGGCCATAGCCAGGTTCAGGCCAGAGAGGGAGGAGGAGCTGCCCTTTTGTGGTTTGGGAAAAAGTCATCCTGAATTACATTCCTCGTAAGCTGACAAAATGGAAGAGAATAATCCTCTCCCCAAAACCAGAAGTATTCAGGAAATGATTAGAAAGGGAAAAGTGGGTGCTGGGGACTCAAAATAGAACCGAATGAGTTCTCCTTCTCCTGTTCCCCTGACTTCTTCTGCCCAGATACCGGGCACAGTGAGATTCCCGAATCACATAAAGATGCATTAGGTGGCGAAACGGTCTTTGTCATAGACACGGAGACGGGAAGTTTGTATCCCTAAGCAGGCAGTCACATTATACAGTGAAAGAAAGAAAGAAATACATCTTCGCTGCCTGCCGTCCCCCAATGGGTAATTAAAATGATGCCACTGCTGTTTTCACTACATTCAAAAGTGTTTTAATTTGTATCTAGCCAGAGGCCTTCTAGCAACAGGAACATTTGTACAAATCCAACAAATAATTATAAATAAATAAAGTCTCCATTTCTGCTGTTCAGGGGGAAGGTTTCCTTCAGGTAACACATTTATAAATCCACCTGTTTGACAATATGGAGCTAAAATAACAGTAGAGTTTGAACTGGCTGCTTATGTGACAGTTGAAATGGTGTGTTTGTCAGCATAGAAATGAAAAACAATATCATGCAGGGAGGTAATCCAGTCCCAGAGGCGCCATGAACTATAAATGCTAAATTACAATAGACCCAGGGTATAACCTTGCATAATTCTTGAATAAAGGATGTAAGGAGTAGAACACCCAAGGTAGCAAGAACTGAGATGGAAGGAGGCCTACGCCATGTATAGTTATGGTGATTTTGGAATTACTAAGAGGATCTTCAGGTGCATATTTGACAACAACACGTATTTGACAGCTGTTTTTCATGTGTAACACTGGTGAAAATAGTGAGAAAAGCATTTAGGAGGAGTAGTTACACAGTTCGGTGCTTGCTTCCTCTCTGGGGGACCTTTTTGCCCTCAGCTTTTCTTGAGTGAGGATGGGTTGATAGCAGTTATGGTTGCTCATCCAATCTGCAGTTAACGGATAATTTTAAGTGGAACTTAGGTGACACCAGATTTCCTTCTTCAGTGTGACAGCTGATCATATTTTGGGGAGTAGAGTTACCACAGATACCATATTTCCATTGCAGACTGTTTCGGGGTCCCAGACTCCTTGGGTACCATCCAGGTCATTCATGTTTCGATGAGATATACACAGATGCTGAAGGTGAGTGTGTGTCTACATTTCACTTTCATTCCGAATGGCCAAGGGAAGCAAATCAGAGTTGGCTATGGCCTCAGTAAGAGATAGTGTTTGCTGAATAAGGGATATGTGAAAAAAAATTATGAGGTCTACTTTCTAGATATCTTCTAGGCCTCTTAAGAAACGATGGAATCTCATTCTTCAACCTGGGAGTAGTTGTCATTTCCGTATCCTTAAATGTATTTAACCATTTTGGTTGACACATAATTATGCATAGTTACAAGGCACAGTGTGATATTTCGGTAACATGTTTACAAAAATGCTAACTATCCTGATTTGATGTTATACATGGTGTACATGTGTTGACTTATCACCCTGTAACCCACAAATATATGCAATTAGAATAATTAAAAACAAAATTGTTACACTCAGAAAAACACCAGAGGGAAGAACAGAGGGAATTTTTTGTGTCAAATATGCCAGAGTTGTAGAAGTCCAGCACCTTGGAGGTGGGAAGGGCTCAGACCCTACCTCGACTATCTGAAAGGGTATGTAAATTCCTACCAGGAGAGCCCATTCTGTGGTTCATGAGAGGGTATGATTCTGTGTCTGTAACAGAATCATTGAAGAAGTGTGTGTAAATCATATTTTCAGTGGACTAGTTGGTCTCATTCTTTAAAGAACTCTGTCTGTAAATGAAATACTTGTACTGGAATGTAACCCTTTTTATTGGAGTAGGCAGTACAACATGGGGCCAGAGTTCTGGAACCACGCTACTGGGTTAGAATCCATTCTGCAGCTCCCTAGCTGTGTAAGCATGCTTTTGTTTCCCGGATGTTAAATGGGATTACCCATAGAGGAATACATTTGAGTAGTGCATTGCGAGTACCCAGTAGATATCAACTACTATCACCACTATTATTTAACTATATCAAGTCCGTTAAAATTGTCTTAGCTCTAATGAAATGTCTCATCTTTTGCAGCCTCCCCAGAAGAACTTAACTAACCTGATTATTTCTCTTAATTTCTGCCTCTCTGTCTTTCATTCAAGATTTACTGTGTACCTGCCATTTGTCAGAAATACATAGCTGGTTCTAACAAAAGGGAAAGATAATAGTTCCAGCTCTAACGAAACTCATAGTCTAGGGGTGGAAAACCAAGAAGCATATGATTGCAGTTCGTATTCGCAGCACATTTCCCATCTGTCTGTAACTGACAACATTTCCTCAGCTGCCATTAATCTATACTCTCTTGATGATCTACCAGTGTCCAGTTGACTAATTAGGAACTCCATTGGCCCTGTGTACTCATGCTGCACCTGTAGAACACCAGTACCTTCCATGTCTTTTCGTGGACCGTGCTACCCTTGAACACTATAGCTGGGTCTGCACTTTTCCACACAACTTGGACTAGGTCCAGCTCACTGCAATGGCCTTTACTCATCAATCACTGTGTACTTTTAGAACAGTGCCAGTGCTAAGCGAAGAAAATTCTTAAGCCCTTTTAGGGTCACTTTTTCTATTCGTTGCCTTGAGGGGTGGGAGATGCCACCAGAGAATTCTCATTTGTGGTCTGCCTTCATTGCCACTAGGTGTCACTGTTCTACATAAATAAAATGGAACCATGCTGGCCTTGGCACTGTGAAATGGGGCCTTTGGTTACACGGGTTGGCAGGTTGAGGTGTCCACTGGATTTCAAGTTGTCAGGTAACCACCACTGCCATCGAAAGACCAGCCACAGTGCAGGAGACAAGCCGTATAAAAAGCCGTGGAAATTCAAGTATTTGACACAGGTACATCCGATACTGTGTTCCATATCCTCTTTGGTATTGATCTTTTTAAATAGATCTATAAAGATTAACTTCTTGGAACAAATGTAATATATTTATGGAATGTAGGGAGTGCATCACTTTATTATTTATGTAGCTGTTTGGGAAAAAGTGTCTGGCTCTATTGGGACGCCATAGAGAAAACCGAAGAAGCTTACAAGACTGTTGGACCTTCTACCAGCAGTCTTCTCTCTGCATGATGAAGAGAAGCTTAAAGTCACATGTTTAGATAAAAGCGTTTATCACTTAATCCTGTCTTCTCTTTTTTCTGCCTTTAGGATAGTTAGTCGTGGTGTCTTAGCACTTGTGAGGGTTCACTGGGAAAAGGAAAACATCCTCTCCACCCTCCTGCCCACTGCTATCATTGAATGGGGACCTCCAGTCTCCACAGCACAGGAGAAGGCTCTGTGAGCTGTGTACTTGGCTTTTATCGTGTTCCTCACACTGGGGTGTTATGTTCTTTCTAGTGTTTATAAAAATACAGGGCCTTACCTGTTGTGGTCAGTGATCACCACTCTCTTCACATTTTGGTACATGATAAATTGTCAGAGTGAGAGTTTCACCAGCCGTAAGAATCTAAGGACAGGACTTTTTGCCCTTGACATGCTCCTTTTGGAAGAATGTTTAATTGTGTTGGCCAAGTCATGATCACAAAGGTAGTTCGGGCTTTGAACTTTGTATACCATGGCACTTGGGATCAGTTTTAAGGAAGGTCCAATCTCTGTGGGAAAAAGACTAGCAGTAGGGATTGCAAGAAGAAATTTAAGGCAGAAAGGAGATCATACATATGTGCTGTATTTGTCTTATATTACAGTGATTACATCCCGAATGATATGGCTATGATGTGTTAACCAATAAAAACCACATGTTCTTTTTGGTTGATCAGTTCTAACAACTTGAGGCATTCCTAATCATTTTCACATTTTGTTAATTACCCAGAACATGGTAGAGTGTGATGGAGATAGTCTCAAAAAGATTCCTGTGCACAGTTCCTTCAATGTCTGTGATATAAACGTCCTTAAAATGTTACCAGGAAGTCCTTTGTTGCAGATAACTGACAAAAAGCTTTGCTTATTGCAGGAGAAATTTGAGGTTGGTGTAGGATTATTCTGAGCTATTTTGAGAAGCAATCTGCTACAATTCAGAAGCTTTGCCATGGGTATGGACTTATGAACACGACATGGAGTCTTGACTCTTCTAATAAGGAGTATTTTGATAAGTTATAAAGAATAACTTTCATAGTGTATTTTACTCCCAGTATCACATAGATTGTTGGTCATCATATAACTTCCAGACTAGACAGTGCTTCCATGTAAATAGTTTTTAGATGCTATGATGTTATAACAGTAAGGATAATGTAATGGCAGTTTCCTAGAACAGAGTAGTGAATTTTTCCATAAAGGGCATTTTTAAATGGGTCATTAACTCATTTTATGAGTGCTTTAGTGCTTTGTGCGCTGTGAGGAAATAATGTATCAACCTACAGGGGCCGAAACTGATTCAGAAAAGAATGTCATCACTTAGTGAACATCCTCTTCTAAGGAATTACATAGTCGTGCAGCTTGGGTCCTATAAACAATATAGTTTTATGCTTGCAGGCCACACCTAGATATTATAGCTGCCAAGCCCTATCAGTAAGCTGTGTGTGGTCAAGTAGACTTTTTGTTTGAGACGGATGAGTCTCATGGTTGGCTAGATGAAATTTGTACTTAACTCTTCTAATTTTTTCCCCTTTCGATTTCATCCAGAATCAGGGTCGGTCCCGTGTAGTTCTTTGTGCTGTTTGATGAGCCTTCATGAGTGAGCCTAAACTGTCTTCTAGTCCGTGATTGTTTTTATTTTAAAAATTAAAAAACTGACAAAACAACAATGAAGACAAAATCAAAACAACAGTAAAACAGCAAAAATGATACATGACCTCAAGACAAAGCGATAGAAATTTACATTGGTTGCTGCATTACATACTGTTATCTTCAGTGAAGTTGCTCAGTCCATTAGACGTAAGAATGTAAGATTGATCAAACAATTAAGACAGTATCAAGTAAAAAATGTAATAATTAAAAAAAAAAAGCATTGGAAAGGATGCAGATCATCACCATACAAAATGGTAGGAGTTCAGCAATGTTTCTTATACTGCATATTGTTTTCAGATCAGTCATTCAGATTACCAGATTCAAGTGTGTGAAATGGTCAAGAAAAAAGAAAATTTTAAGCTTTGTCTGTTCCTCTCAATAAGCCACAGACATCAGCAATACACCTATTCCAGGTATCCTTATATGTACATATAAATTTTGTTTTTCATTTAAAAAAACCAACATACCTAAAACAAATACATAAACAAAACAGCATAGAGAACGATAAAAAATGATACAGAATTTCAAAACATGGTGATAGGTTATTAACAATGGTTGTTATACTGCACAATGTCATCTTCAAAATGGTTGCACAGATAACAAGATATAGGCATGCAAGACTGATCAAACAATTACACATTAACAGTTCCTTTGAATAAACCTGCAGATATTAGTTATACAATTATTCAATCCAGCTATTCCCCTCCTGGGTACTTTTCCAGAAGGACTGAAAACATCATACCACAGTGATATATGTACACCCATGTTCATAGTCCATGAGTTTTAAATAAAGATGGCCTGAGGAACATGAAGACCTGCACAGATGGTTGGTGTGGAGCATATCCTTCCAGTATGCTTCTGCTGGTCTTCTAGCTGCAAGTGTAGTCGCAAACTCAGAGCTGTAATGAATAGGACAGGAATATCCATGGATAAGCATCCCAAAGACATTCTGATGGAGGCTTATAATCAGTACAAATTGTAACGGCCAGGGAAGGAGTTGTTGTGCAGATGGCTTTATTCTTGAATACCCAGCACCATCTGGCGCTTTGGGGCCGCGCCCAGCCCCACCACGAGAAGAAACCGTATTTCCAATGCATTGGCACAAACTCTCGAGTCAATGGCTCCTTGACATTTTGGACTCTTGATCATATGTGGGTCCAGCTGCAGAATGTGCCCTTTCCATTGGGCAGAGAAGTGGTTCCAGTGACGTTGTCTTTTGTTGAAGAAAAGGTCGCCTCAGGGAGTCTTGGAGATTTGGGTTAAATTTGGGTATTACACATGGCACTATGACCCATTTGTTTAAGGCTGAATGAAATACTTACAATATTGATGTAGAAGAATTT